ACAAAAAAAAAATACGAAAAATAAGAAAGTAGAATTTTTTGAAAAGTGTTTTTGGAAAAATACAACCAAGAAAGCTGAATCATATAAAATTGATAAATATTTTAGACATTTATTTATTTATTTATTTTACCAAACTAATTTTTATTATATGTTTGGATGATGATCATGTAATGGATAGTTGTTAAGTTTTTAATATGTCATTGATATATTGCTTGATGGATTTCACAGATTCTGACATGGCCGGTGATATTGATTCTAGGAAATCTACTTCAGGGTATTTGATGACTTTTGCAAGGGGAGCTGTGGCATGGCAATCTAAATTACAAAAATGTGTTGCTCTCTCAACTACCGAAGCTGAATTTATTGCCATTACGGAAGCTTGCAAAGAAGAGTTATGGTTGAAGAAATTTTTGCAAGAGTTGGGTTTAAAGCAAGAAAAGTATGTGCTTTATTGTGATAGTCAAAGTGCTATTCACTTGAGTAAAAATTCTACTTTTCATTCAAGATCGAAACACATTGATGTGAGATACCATTGGATTCGTGATGTGTTAGATTCGAAATTGCTACAACTCGAAAATGTTCACACGGATGATAATATTTCGGATATGTTGACTAAGACTTTGTCGAGGGACAAACATTTGAAGTGTCGAACTTTGGCGGGTATGGTTGATATCTCCACCTAAGTCGGTAGCGGGAGAATTGTTGGGTATACCTCCTTATTGGAGTGTGGGACCCAATTGATTTATTAAAAGAGTTTCAATTTGGCTTGGTTTAAGTATAATATATTTTTATATATTATATTTGTGGAGACTCAATTCAATTTTGTAACAATTAGGGCTTGTTTTTAAAACCCAAGATTCAATATATATATATATATATATAGATTGTTTATTTTCAAAGGAGGTTGGTACGGCTTTCACAAAGTTTTTGTTCAAACTTTTCGAATTCGGGGTTCGTGCCAATTAATTCACCTTTGGTGATTTTTGGTTTGTGTGGCAGTGCTTGAATACATCTTGGTGGTGTCGTTTCGGCTGCTTTGTTTGATTTGTTTTCGGTGTTGATTTGGGTTATTATTTTGAGTCTTCTTTAACTTTGATTCTGAAGATTTGGTTCATCTATTTGGTGAGGTATTTCCTCTTGTTTATTTGTGATTATTTGGAATTCACCTAAGGGTGGTTTTGTGAGACCATTAGTGTCTTGTTTATAATCGTTTGGAACTTATTTGGTTGATAGTGGAATCGGATTTCGATCCCGTAGACGTACCTCACATTGAGGGAACCACGTAAAAATTCTTGTGTTGCTTTTGATTTAATTTTTTCTGCATTGTTTTTATTCCCATTGATTGATTTACTTGTGAGGAATCATAGATTTTCCCTAACACAATTGAATGCTGCAAAATGCAGCACCCAACCTAATTGGCAACACTGGTGTCGCTCAAACTTTTATACCGTCACCAAGTTTTTGCTGAATTTTTTGTGGCTCATTACCATCACAAATGATACAAAAATAGTGTAATTAGTGACGGAAGAGTTTTTGCAACAGAAAATGAGCACCGTCACTAAAAAAGACTGCTGTCTAGAAGTGAATAGTTGAGAAAATGAGCCCAAAAAAATTTTGGTTGTTTCAACAATTCAAGAATTAGACCTTCCTATAAAGTTTAAAAGTTGCCACTGACCTTCAAGCTTGGACGAGCTCCACGACCTTTTTCTGTGGCCATCTTGATTAGTTGACCGACACCTTTTTGATCAAGTACCTGAGGAAAAAAGAATATGATCAAGTTTGAAACATACACATTGATCAAGAATTCTATAACTTTGAGGAAAAATCGTATGGAATTCACTGGACAAGCATAAAATTTAACAAACCTCAAACGGATCATTTTGGAGAATGCCTTTGGAGAGGTAAATGGGGAGAAACTTGCCAACATCATCTCTACTGTACCCAAATGTCATTTGTGTGAGGTCATTGGTCCCGAAGGAGAAAAATTCCGCTTCCTTTGCAATCTACATTAATCAGTCAAATAATATGAGGGTATGGATGGCAGTAACTTAACAAAAAGTTAAACTATAGATATTCTCAAAAGTATTGCAACCATTTTAAGTTACCATAAAATTTAAAAGATAAATATATTTTTCGGAAACTTTGAGGAGAAAGTTCATCTTGACATACCTCGTCCGCAACAAGAGCAGCTCTAGGAATCTCGATCATGGTCCCTACCTTGAAGCTCAAGGAAGTACCCATCTCGGAGAACACTTTCTTTGCAACACTACGAATTGAATGCACTTGATGTCCTAGTTCCTATAGCCATAGATATCATGTTTTAAGGAAGACTGAACACTCAAAGTAGTGAATGAAAATTAAGAATACATCGGTTTTGAACTTTGATGATATCAAGATCAGTCAAGAAAAATAAACTAGGATCCTATTTGTTACTGAGAGTAAAAAAAAAAAAAACCAATCTTGATAGAAAAAAAATATGTACGCCCAGTTTAGTCCCCGGTCTGGGGTAGATTGGGCACAAGAAATAGGTTATGAGAAGAAGAGCAAGACTCATGCCTGAGGTGTTCCAACAAGGGGAACCATTATCTCTGGAAGGACTGTGATTCCCTGGTTGCGCATAGACACAGCAGCCTGAAAGACAGCGCGCACTTGCATTTCGGTTAGCTCTGGGTACGATATTCCTAGCCTGTCGACACATCATAAAACACTACCACTTGAGCAGCACACATATTGTGATATTAATTTTTTTATTATTTGTTTTATTTTTACTTAAATTGCACATGCATCACATGTGCCAGCCATTAGTTATAATAATATGGATATTTAAGGAATCGAGACACCAAATGGGGAGGCCTTAAGTTTTTCAAACTTGATGCATTTATTTATATGAGCATATAATTTGGGAAGTGACTTATTTTCACATCATCCAAAAATTAAAAACTCTTGGACAGCTATTACGAGTCCTAAAGTCTTAAATTTACATCATATTGTTTGAATTAAATGCGTTCTCATTAATGAATGCCGCCCCAAACAAAATAGACAGGTAATACATATATATTATCATTAAATAGATTTACACAGAATACATTAAGTTAGTTTCAACATACAAACAAATTTTTTTCCCAAACCACGTTATTACTTAAAGGGTACCAAAAAAATGGACCAACCAATGATGCCCCCTCCCATTTTTCCTATCATCTAGTGTAAATTAAGGTGTTGCGAATGCATGTACCTTTGCGAAGTCAGTGTATATTAGCATCAGATTCAATTTTCAGACAACAATTTGAGGGAAAAAATTCTTTTAAAAAAAAAACATTAAATCAAGAAATGCATAAGATCTGCTGCCAAACCTGCAGCCTCGAAAACCAAGCATGGGATTTACTTCTGATAATTTCTCGATCCTTGAGTAAACCTCGTCTTCTGTCATGCCAGTGTCTGTGGTTAGTTCACCGACAATCTGCTCTAGGTCACCTTCTGGTAAAAATTCATGGAGCGGAGGGTCCAAGAGTCGAATCGTCACTGGGAGACCTGAAATATAAAGAAACCACGTCATGAGACAAAAAGTTCGAATTTAAACAGACTAAACAGAGCCAATCTCAGCAAACTTGTTTTTCTGTTTTCATTTTTTGGAAAACACAGCTTGTTTGGCAAACCGTTTTTGGGAAATTACCATCCATTGCACGGAAAATGCCCTCGAAATCCACTCTTTGATAAGGCAACAGCAGGTCTAATGCTGCCTTCCTCTGCTCAGGTGTTACTGCCATTATCATCTTTCTCACTGCCTTGATACGTTCGTCAGAAGCGAAGAACTGAAATACCAAAACACATGAAGAATTCAAGCGATTTACAAATCTGACCATGTCAATACAACACAACATTGACTAGTTGAATTACAAAAGAAATGATTGAAGGTTTGAAGCTATATATGTTTGTTCTTGCTCCAATAACATATTGGCAGAATAAGTCCACAGAATCCTGTTGACAGAAAATCTTGTCCTAAGAAGCACTGAGACTGACATGCAACACAGCAATTGTCAAAAAAATTAGGATACAAACATGGCAGGAATACGGCAAAAAAATATTTTTTCATACATTTTTATTTGTGACGTATATGAATATTACATAATGAAAAAATAACACCAATTCAACATGAAAAAGTAACTCAATCTATGACATCATAAATTGTAGGTGTGTTATTAGTACAAGCACAAGAAGACATTTTCTTATAACCACAAGTATAAAAATAAAAATAAAAAAAGCAATTTCAACAATCAAATACTAATTTAGAATGACAATTCAACAACTCCAACAATCAAATACTAATTTGGAAATCAAGGGAGAGAACGCTAATATTTTGTATTGTTTAAAAAATAAGAGAATACTACATCTTGATAATTAAAACATACAACACACTTACATAGTGATGATTATGAAATTATGACTAGCATGTCCAAAGGCAAAACACGTGTGCTTGTGACGTGTTCTCAACGTGTGCTTGTGACGTGTTCTCAAGGCGATGGGCAGAGAAAAAATAATTAAAAATGAGACACATCACATGCGTGTGATGGTACATATCCCGGCATGTCGGCGTCCGATACGTGTTGAACAAGGCTACGGTAACTAAAGTGTCCATGCTTCATAGGTCTTGTCCAACTTCTTTGCAACATTTAATGGCAGCTGTCAGTAAAGAGCACAACAGGATCTGTGAAATTTTGCCATCTACAATTTCTATTACTTGGTAGTTCTTTGTGTCTAGTATTTATTAAAATCAAGGAAAATTCTTACATTTTCCACATAACTCACGGAAGAACAAGAATGATGGTAACAAAACCAAGGAGATAGATATACCATGTGCTCTGTCCTACAAAGTCCAATCCCTTCAGCACCATTATTTCTTGCTGTTAGCGCATCTTCGGGAGTGTCCGCATTTGCCATAACCTATCCAAATTCACATTATCAGATCAGTTTTCAAAATTCTCAACAATAAATGCCACACACGGCCTTTACGACATAAAAATGTCTGCAGCACCTTGAGGCACCTTATTTTGTCAGCCCAAGTCATGAAGTTCTCCAAATCACCACTTAGAGCCGGAGGAGAAAGTGGTTGTTTACCCAAGATCACTTCACCTGTTGACCCATTGAGTGAAATCCATTCACCTTCGCTGATAACCGTGCCTCCAATTACAACAAACTGCAATACAAGAAAACAGTAATTCCTTCTTTTTGTTTGAAAATAATAAAATGAAAAGCTATTGAACCGTTTAAACAATATTCTAAGACTAGCTTCTTGGCATCATTCACACAGATCTTTACTTTTGAATGAGATGGAAAGGTTCTTAGGCTAAATTTCAGCTGCTTTAAGAAAATTAAGAAATTTCTCAATTTTCACAGTTTATGCGATTGAAAAACTGTGAAATTTCAGTTTGTGGTGAAATTTTATGTAATTGAGAAATTTTCTCTACTTTCCAAAAACAATGAAATTTTGCAATTTCCTACTACGAAATCTCTCAATTTTATTTTTTCAAAATGTTTCAATTTGTTTGATAGATTCCTCTAATATGTTCCAAAAATATAAATTTTATGAAAAACGGCTTTGTAGAATGAAAGTAATGGAATTTTGAAACAAAAAAGTAACTGCCTGACATGTCATGTAACTTGTTTATGAGCATATCTCGCATTTTAACAAGATAAGGGTATTTCAGTTAAGAGATGACGCATGGCACTTTAATGGCTTACGAAATCTTTTTACGACTTTTTAGTCTACTAAATTTCATCTATAATAGTTTGAGAGTACCTTCTCGGCATCGTTCACACGGATATCAGCACAACCAGAAACACAACATTTCCCCCATCCACGGGCTACGACAGCTGCATGAGATGTCATGCCACCTCTTGCTGTCAATATTCCGGCAGCCACATGCATACCACCCACATCCTCTGGACTGGTTTCTGTCCTCACCTGTAACCAAACATAAATCATCAACAATTAAATAGAATCAGGAAGTTTAAGTTCATTAACATAGCATTGTAAGAACTCAGCAGCATAAATTGCATCACTGAGAAATTTAACAAACTTACAAAAGCATTGGTACATAAATAAATAAGACGGACACATTTAGGCTGCGTTTGGAAATATGGATTTCAAATTGGCGGATTTGGCATTGATCACTCAAAATGTATATGTCCAATTCAAATATAAAGATTAGATTAACAACTATAACAAAAATGAAGTGAAGACGAATACAAGCATTACCAGGATGACACTCTTTCCTTGTGCGTGCATGACAGCATCCTCAGTGTTGAACACAACCTGGCCCACTGCTGCTCCAGGAGATGCTGGCAACCCCGTGGCAAGTACTTTGTCTTTGTAAGCTGATGGCTCTTCAAACTACTTCAACAATCAAGCAATGACATTAACACTTGCTCGATATCTCACTTATCATATTCCATTGTGGAAGACATTTATTTCTAAAGAATTTGGCATGATATATCTAATCCATACATAATATCATGAAAAATGGATACGAATTTTTGATTGCTACTTAGTGTCAATAGGTCTGTAAAAGTATCGAATTTTTTTTTAGATATTTGTACCCTATCAAAGGAACCATGGCACATATGTTTGGATTTGACAGAGACAAAAAGTCACTATCTTTACTTCGAAATGAAATGGAAAGGCTGTTTGGTCATCTCCAATCCTTAATTCTTTTTCTTTTTCCTTTTATATATTTATCAGATTTGAGGGAAATTTTGGTTAAAAGCTTTACCTGATATGAACACTCAAATCCTTACCTTTTTTTTATAAAAATATATATATATTTTTAAATTTCCATCTTATCACAAAAACCTCTTTTAACTATTTTTTCTACAGAAAGCCAAATCCTATCCTTACTTTTATTACAATTTCATCAAATATAAATTAAAGTATTAGATTTCAAAATTTGATAAAGAATTTTGGTTCATCCTTGATTTGATACAAGTTTGATGAAAGGATTGGAGATCATCTTTATCACTTTATCTCACCAAATTTGAATTTGATGAAGTATTGGAGAAGCCCTTGCAATTGCACATCATACCCAATATAAAACATATGAGTAAATGAAAATGAAAAATGACATACTTGTTTTATTACAAATATAAAATGTATGCAGCGAGTTTAGAAAATTGTAGTAACTGTGTTGCAATTAAGTATGCCCATTTGATAATTGAACTCGATGGCGGAAAAGAAGAACTGCAGCGTTATTATGTTATGCACTAAGAAGAAGCATGGATATTTTTACCAAAGTAGCGTGTCTCTCATGCATATTATCCAATATTTTTTGAAAAAATTCATGTCAGTGCACCTGTGCCATGTCGCTTGTCTGTGACCATGCTTTTTAGGTTAAGTAGTTTCAAACAAGTTTGACAGACGTGTACCTGGGGATGCAGAAGTTGGTCAAGATGCTGTGGCTTGACCATCTTAATTGCAGTGCGAGTGTCGACTAGGCCTTCATCAACCATGTCGACAGCAATCTTCACCGCACCTTTACCCGTGCGCTTGCCTGACCGACATTGCAGCATCCAAAGCCTATTTTCTTGAACAGTGAATTCTATATCCTGCCCCCACCATAATAATGACAATAGACAATAGTAATATCATCACAATTTTCTCCTAAATAAAAAGTTTCATGCAAAATTAAGCAATACTACCGATAAGTAAACATTCAATGTGTACCATTACGTGACAAGAATTGAGATCAAAGCTCATGAAAAATATTAGAAATAGAAGAGCATCATATTGAAAATGAGAAATTTCACCATCATATCCATGTAATGTCGCTCTAAAATTTCGCAATTCTCCACGAGCTCCTTGTAAGCTTCAGGCATGCAACTTTTCATGGTGTCCAAGTCCTCCGGTGTTCTTATTCCAGCTACCACATCCTCTCCCTATTCAAAGATGTTAAAACTCAAGCTAAAATAGTTTGTGGTAAAATAAAATGATCAATAGAATGATGTTGATTACATGTAGAACTAAAATGGGGGTTGAATTTTGGAGACCTGAGCATTAACTAGAAACTCCCCATAGAGCTTATTTTCGCCGGTGCTCGGGTTCCTAGTGAAGAGGACCCCTGTCCCTGATGTGTTTCCCATATTCCCAAACACCATGCATTGAATATTCACTGCTGTACCCTTTAACCCGGTTATCTGGTTGATGCTCCGGTATTTGATGGCTCTCGCGCTGTTCCACGAATCAAAAACTGCTTTAATAGCCAATTGTAATTGTTTCTTTGGGTCTGCATATGAACACAAGCAGAATGGATTTAGAAATCAAAATGTTGATAATGTTAGGGATTTTTTATAACACTTCATTTTTGTTTAATTATTTTTGAAAATTAAAAATGAAAACTTGTTTGGTATATTGTATTCGTTTTTATAAAAATAAAATTGATTCCAAAATTTTCAAAACAAGTTTTCACTCCCCCCCCACCTTTGGCTGCCCCCAACCGACCTCGGCACCCTCCGTCCACCCTACCGCCAGCCAACACCTCCGCAGCAACTCACCAATCATGTTTATTTATTGTTGTTTTAAAAAAATTTGTATATATCAAACAAGCTTTTGTTTTCGGCTTTTACAAAAAACTTGTTTCCTGTTTTATGTAAGCAGAAAATAGGAAATTGGCAGCCACCACCTCCACCGCAACTCACCAATCATGTTTATTTGTTTTTGTTTTCAAAATATTTGTATATATCAAACAAGCATTTTGTTTTTGGCTTTTATGAAAAAACAAAACAAAAAACTTATCTAAACAGAAAATAGGAAATTGGCAACCTTATGTACAATTTCACCATAAAGTTTGATCTTATGGTGAAGAAAATCAAATTTAGAAATAAAAACATGTGATCATGTTTCTTGGTACCTGAAGGAAACTTTTCACCCTTTGCTTCAAGGTAGACATTCTTGTATTGTTCCACAAGCTTTTTAAGATCAGAGGCAGTTAGTTCAGTATCAAGATTGATCCGTTTTGCATTCTTCAAAATTTCTAATTTCTCCTCAAACAATGAGTGTGGAATGCCCATTACCTTCAACGTAAACAAAAACAAAAGCAAAAACACTAAAAATGTAAGTCTTTATCAGTCTTGAAATACTCTGCTCAACAGTGTTGCGATTTACAATATAAAGCAACACTTACGACATTGCCAAACATGTCAAGGAAGCGTCTGTACGAATCAAATGCAAACCGCTCTCCACTTTTCTTAGCCAAACCAGAAACCACTTCATCATTCAGTCCGAGGTTGAGAACGGTGTCCATCATGCCGGGCATGGATATCTAAGTTATAAATGTGAAAATTGGGTTAATAAGCACTTGGCAACAAAATGATTGAAGGAGAAGATAGGCAAACTCCTACGTATGGTTTCATACTTTCATCTTCCACATTTGCTCAAATTAAGTGATTTTGAATTTCTTATAGCTCAAAATAAGCCCTTTGTAAATGAAAGAAGTTACTGTTGGGGCAGGGGACGGACCTATGTTGAACAAGTGTCTTTTCGACTAGTCACATTCCATCCTACACGTTGCAAAAATTTATTTTTGCCACCCCTTTTTTGTGACAACGCCATAGCTGTCACTATTACTTATTTTTTCTGTCGCTAATAACCATCAATTGAGACCAGTTATTACTGACTGTAACTACGCCATCACTAATATTTATTTTCGGTGACTATTATTCATGCTGTCACTAAAAAAAAAAAAAAAAACTATTATTAGCGATGGCAAACATGCAAAAGCCCACTTTTCTAGTAGATAGTGTCAAGTGTCAACAATGTACAGATGCCAGAGCTGAATGCACAAACGAAAAGGCACTTACAGCGGCGCCAGAGCGAACAGAAAGGAGGAGGGGCTTGGAAGGGTCGCCAAGGAATGCCCCCATGTCCATCTCGACACTCTCTAAGCCTTCCAATATTTCCTCCCACAATCCATCCGGTAGCTGTTTGCCGTTCTGTTGATACTCTTGGCAAGCTTCTGTTGATACGGTAAGCCCTGGCGGCACTGACAAACCAATGCTCGCCATCTCTGCCAAGTTCGCTCCTTTACCTCCCAACTAAAAATATACATATATATGCAAATTCTTGTCCATCAAAAGTACTCAGAATATTGATACAAATTCACAATGTCAAACATATATGGAGAAAAACATTTATCAAAGTTTAAAATGTTGGACAAGTAGGTAGTATATGCAAAAAAAAACACAGATTATCATATTATGTCAATAAAATTTGAAAAACCAGACTCACCATTAATGGGTTTTGATCGGTTAATAGAAAAACAAGTTTTGGTTCATCTGCTTAAAAGCTAAAATTTACAAGAAAATAAAAATTGCGAGACACATCATAGTTACAGAATAGTATCAATTATTACGACACTTCTATAGCAAAAAAAAAAGAGGCAGTCTTTGCAGGCCTGAGGAGGGTCAGATTTAAACAGCATATGTCAAATTTTCCAAGAATATGACACTTTTATGTTAAAAATTGATATTCAAGCCAAAAGTCAGCTTGAAACAGGTTGAAATGGCTTGCATTGATTGGTTCAATCAGTTAGGTTCCAAGGTAACTTTCATAGTGCTCTACTGACTTTTAAGTTGTGTTTTTGTAAAGATTTGTGAGGGAAAAAAAAAAGAAAAGAAAAAGAAACAAAGGGAAAGACTATGGTACACACCCATCAAAGGGTGTGTACGCACCATATGCATCTTATAATTAAAGAAAAAAATGACATAACTCCATACTTTATGAGTCATAACTAAAAAAATCATAACCAAATACTGTATGAGGTATAACCAAACATCTCAGAATAGTGTCATAACTAAAAAAGAAAATTGATCATAACTAAAAAAAAATTGGCATAAGTAAGGGTGCATATAGTTTATGGTAAGCGATGTGTATTGTAGAATTCTCCAAAAACAGATGACAAAAATAGAAGCTAAATTTTTGTCACTTTTTTATTCCATTTCCTTTCCCTCCACAAAGCACTACTCAAATCCAAAAGACACAGCCTTAAAAGCTGATCAGTGATCACCATTTATGAATAGGAAAATATCTGTCAAACTTAAGAATGAATAACCAAAAACACAAAAGCTAAACATGGGTTTCTAAATGGAGATGGATGTAAATAACTCACCAAAGACTTCATGCCCTTGTTGCCTTCAGTCTTTCCCTTGCCAAAGGTAAATACTCGCTGTGTCAACATTAAAAAAATAAATAAAAAAAAGTGAGTTACAACAATACTTTTTTATAACAACATCGTAAACTAAAATAAAAATAAAACTCTTCAATGCGTGCAACAAAATTAGCCAAACGCTCTATTACATAAAAATATCCAAAAAATTAATCTGTGGGTCAAATTTTTTTGGAAGTAAATGGGATCACACCAAAAATTACAGACATCCCTTCTATATCTTGAAATAACAATAACCCTCCTCTTGTTCTTTGAAATATCACTGCTCTCCGTTTTTTGGATTTTAGAATATCAATCTCAACCAACTATTTGTTAACCAACAAAAATTGTTTATGTCAATAAATAAATATTTTTTCCCTAAATTATCCATTTTACCCTTGTACAACACCACCACCTAAGCTCCATTGCAAGGCCCCATGGAAGTGTAAAGTTGAAGGGTTGGCAGACATGCAAAGGAATCTGATTGGTGGTTTACGTTGCTTATTAGAGCATCTCCAACGGTGCATTTCTTTTTTCATCAAATCTGAGTAAAAAATGACCCATTTTACCAAATCTGATATCACTCGTTCTAACGGTGAACTTTCATCAAATTTGCGCCGAGACAACCGGTTGGTCAACTGGTTAGGCGAAATTTTTTTTTTTTTTTTTTGAACTTTTTGAACCTTTTAGTGGTCGATGGTCGACTGGCTGGTCAACCGGCTGGTCGACTGGTAAGGCAAAAAAAATCTATTTATTTATTTATTTATTAACTGTTTGAACCTTTTCTTAGAATTGCTTGAACCTTTTGGTGGTCGACCGGTTGGTCTCGCGATGGTCGACTGACTGGTCAACCGACTGGTCGACTGGTAAGGCAAAAAAAATTTATTTATTTATTTATTTTTTAACTGTTTGAACCTTTTCTTAGAATTGCTTGAACCTTTTGGTGGTCGACCGGTTGGTCTCGCCCAACGGTCACAAACAGTGTTTTGATGAAATCAGTATTCTGTCCTCAGTTTGATGAATTGTTTAGTGAAATCTCATTTTAATATCGATTTGGTGCAACCGTTGGAGCACCAAACAGTAATTTTTTTATCAAATTTTAAATCTAATGTCAACTTTAATGTACCGTCGGAGATGGTCTTAAAAAGAAGCTTTGATGCCTGTACTCTTACCAAGCTCATCTTCCACAATGGAGACAAAATAGAAGATCCCAATCCAATCTTATATGCAAGAATAGAGAATATCCCAACATGATTGATACCCAGTTACTCAAATTGGAGTCTGAGGGTTTTCCAAAAGGCCATGATCAAACCCCTAGGCCCTGAAACGCAGAGAAATTATGGGTGTGGGAAGAAAGGGAAGGGTTTTCCATTGAGGAAGAGAGATCAGAGATTGTGGTGGGGGAGGATTTGTGTTGTGGGTTGAATTGAATTCAGTGGTGGGTTTTGAGTGTTCTCTGGTATGGATTGAATGTTGGAATCAGAGTGGGTGTTTCTGTGCTGGGTTGGGTGGTGTGGGTTTTAACAGTGGTGATTGGAGGAAGGCTATGGAAGGTGGTGGTTTGAGGCGGAGCAATTGGAAAGAGGTGGTGGTGGTGGTGGTGGTGATCGGTGATCTGAAATGGAAACATTGTTGGGACTGTAGAGGATGTAGCCGAGGCGGTGGTGGAGGAATGCTTCGCTCCCACGCTACACAGTGGTTTTTTTTTCCCCAATCAAGTGGGTAAATAAAATTTATTTTCTTAAAGGAAAATGATTGGTGGCCTTAAAAAATTTGCCCCTAATACCCCTAATTTCTAATTTTGGAAACTGTTTTTTTTTTTTCTTTTTTCTTTTCTTTTTTTTTTACCTAAAATAGAATTTCGGGACATTCAAGCCCCGAAGTCTCGGGCCCTCAATCAGCTTTGTTTCTTAAATTATCTATACCTCTGCCCCATATACATTGAAGAAAATTATACAAATTTATAATTTTTGAGTTATAATTAAAAATAAAAGAAATCATAATTAAACACAAAAAAATCATAAGTAAATATATCAAAATAATGTCATAACTAAATAAAAAAATTAGTTACAATTATAAGCTAAAATGACGTAACTAATGGTGTATATGATACGGGGTGTGTATAATAGAATTCTCCATACATTTATCCGTGGTATATTGAGTTAGGGTTATGGATTGCCTTGACTTCGATTTGATCTGGACAGGAGGGTGTTGTTTGGGTCTGTAAAATTTTATATAAGTATGTTTTGATAATTTGAACCGTTTAATTTATAATACTTTTTATATATATCACTCACGAAAAAAAAAAATATCAATTTGATAATTAAAACCTATTTTTTTTTTTGGGTACATATAATTAAAACCTATTCAATCTATTACATTTATCACAAAAAAAATGGATAGTTTGCCTTTATAAAAAAAATTTGTCGTCTATTTTTTTGGATACAGATGTAATAAATGAAATGGGTTACGATTATTTGATCAACCGAATTTGTATGTGAATCATATACATAAAGGACTCTACAAATGAATAGTTTGAATCAACAAAGCATAATTAATAGTGGGCTCATAGGTCCGAACAACCTTGCCATTGGGCTGAAGGAAAGCACAGTCCAATGAATTAATAGACACAAAAATAGGATAAATTAATTTAGTTTAATAATTTTAACTATATAATTTAATCACATTTATTTTCAAAAACACACACAAAAAAAAAAAAAAACATGTTTTCAAAACTATATAGTCAAGCGTGATAAAATTGTGTAATTATAATTACCATATTAGTCTAATATGTTTTATAACACATTGGAGCCTAAAAGGTTAATTAATTGAATAATTAAAATAGGGCATATGGTGGTCCGATCCGGAGGTAAACCAAATCATTTGTAAAAAAAAAAAAAATGAACAGAAGACTCCTACATCTCGAGTTGAATCCTTTTTTGGTTCTAAATTAAATTTCGGTCCAAAACTAAAGGCACTTTTGGGAAAAGTTAAAAAAAAAAAAATTGAAAGTCAATTTTTAACTCATTTTAAATCATATCATTTTTATATATTTTTTCAAAAACAGTCAAAAAAATAAAAATAAAAATTTACAAGTCAATTTTCAACCACCTTTTAAAAATAAACTTAATTGAGATGAAATATTTTATTGGACAATTATGGGCTTCACTTTATCAGAGTCTATCGACAATGCAAACTCTAAGTGGCTTTCAACCAACATTTGGCCTATCAATATTTCTCTTTGGCCAGTTGAACTATCCTCTTTATTGATATATTCAATTTTTAACTCATTTTAAATCATATCATTTTTATATATTTTTTCAAAAACAGCTAAAAAATAAAAATAAAAATTTAAAAGTCAATTTTCAACCCCTTTTAAAAATAAACTTAATTGAGATGAAATATTTTATTGGACAATTATGGGCTTCACTTTATCAGAGTCTATCGACAATGCAAACTCTAAGTGGCTTTCAACCAACATTTGGCCTATCAATATTTCTCTTTGGCCAGTTGAACTATCCTCTTTATTGATATATCTAAAATCTTTGAAGCATGGAGTCTCGTATAACTCATTCTTTCTAAAACTTGAACCAACAGAAGCAACTTCAATGATATTAGCCTAATTTGATGCTAAAGCTCGACATGATATCTAGTCAAGCCACACGCAAGTAATAAAAATAAATATAAAAAAAAATAAAAAGACATTACTAATAATATTTCAAATAGTCAGAATGCATACCTTCTTCATGGTTGGAGTCGGGTCTGAAACCGGGGTTAGGATGGCTTGTGAGCTGGACCGGCTTCCAAGCTGTCGCTTTCCTTTCTCGGGCTTGAGGTTGGTGAATCCATTTGCACTGAATTGCAGTATTTCCTGGCAGCGAGCGAGCCGAACTCGACTGCACGACCGGTTCAAATGAACCAACGGTTTACGGTAATTACTCCCTCTAAGAAAATCAATCTGAGCGTGATCTACATACTTGTGCTTCAACAGTACCACTCTTTTAGCACCTACATGACTTGTCAACCTCATCACCATGTCCTTCACAGCTGCAGACATTTTCCCCTTATTTCTTATTCAATCTTCCCTGCTTACACACACACACATACACACACATATATGTACACACACAATAACCCATCAATTATAAACTCCTGTCAAGGCCCCAAGTTCAAAAATTTTTGTGCAACACATCAATTATAAACTCTGAATACTTACAATTACTTACAAATTATATAGGTATTGATTGTCCTTTTAAAGGTTAACTCATTCTAAAATTCCCTTCTTTGTTGGACTACCTGTCCTGGTTCATCGCGAAACAATCTTATTCATCATCATGATATTGGTTGTACATTGATTGTTTGTTTTTATTTTTCTTCTTTCTTTGCTTTGGTTTTTTGTTTTCTAAACCAGTGAGAAATTGGTTTATTTTACAAGGTACAGTACAGTTCTTAGGAGGATTACTTGACTTGTTGGTATTTGAGCAGATCAATATATCAACCAAGAAAGTAAAGGCCATTCTTGGTTCATTCCAATGACATATACAAACATATATCCCTGACGGGATCCCAATGATTATGCAGAAAGATGGAACACCAACAAATCACAAATGAATTTGAATAAAGGTATTGATTGATTTTTAAATTGAAGCTAATTAACTCGCGTACCTGGTAGGTGTTCGTGGTTTGTACAGAGAACATAAGAGACACTAATCAATTGGGTGGTGGTGCCCTGTTCAGGCTCTCTCAGATCAGAGACGTGTGCCTTTCTGTCAAAACAAAAATGGCAGTTGGTGCTTTTTTATTAATTTTATTTATTTATTTATTTGTAAGTTGTGTGTTTTATTCGTGAGGAGGAGGATGATATGGAAAATGGGTGGTTGAAGAAATTACAATTATGGCGCTAAATCGCTTTGAAAGTAACTGCTGTTTGACTTGTGGGTAGATCATGTAAAGTCCCATGGAGTGGGAGGGAGTTGCTAATTCCACACCCATTATAGTGCACCCATCAAAAACTACTGGTTTACTTTTCATTTTTTTTGTTACAGTTCTATCTTAATGTATAATCATTATTAAGGTCTAAATTATAAAATAAAATGCACCCCACCTCCCTCATCCCACTACCCAAGTCCTTTCCTAGCCACCTCTCGCCATCTTGCTATCCTCCCTCTCTCTCTCTCTCTCGTGTAGGATATCAAAGGTGAAAATAGAAACAGAGTTATATGTAGTAAATAATGATTATTGACTTAATGATTTTTTTTTTTTTTGGCCTTACGGTAAATGTCAAGTTTGGAAGTTGTTTGGAATGTTTTAAATAAGTGTATTTTTTGAATTTTTATGAAATATAGGTTGAACTTGAAGTGATGTGGTAGAAATGTGATCTGACTTAAATAAGATGATGTGACTTAAATATGATAGTGACTTTTTGATTTTTTGAGGGGATAACAAACAAGGCCTTGATAAAATTTTGGAATGAATATGGTATTGTAGGGAATTTTTTAAAAATCAAAATAGTGTGACAAATTATTCATATAAATTGAGTTATGTATTTTATATTATCAAAAATGACTTGGACCCCAGCTGGGGGTGCTGGGGGTCGTCTGTGATTGGGCAAATTTTTTTTTCCAGCCAACCCCAGGCCAACACGTGGCACTGGAGGGTCGCTGGGGGTCGTCCGTACTGGGGGTCGGAAGCATTGTTGTTTATATTATAGATATCTGTGTGCGTTTGTGTGTGGTGGCTATAATTTCGGAGGAGGATATGTCAAAAAAAAGTTAAAAATTTTAAATAAATGATCGTTTGGCATATGGATTTGGGTGAGATTGAGGTTATTTTAGTTACAAAAGATAAAATAGATTTTTTAGTGTAATAAGATAAAATGTCACATCCAACCGATAATCATTTTATTTTTCTCTCAAAAAAGTCAAAAAATTTATTTCAAACAAGACTTTTTAGTCCCAGACTAAAATAATCAAAAAGTTAAAAAGTTAAAAAATTAACTTGCATTCCAAACAAACCCTAAATTTGAGATGTTTGTGGATGTAGTAGGCCACGCTTGTGAATATATTATTTTAATAATTTTTTAATTTTTTATCAAAAAAATATGTAAAAAAATAAAAAAAATAATATGATAACTTATAATTATTTTTTAATTTTTTTATTAAAATATATAATTAACCAACGAGATAACAAAAATGTGTGTCATTAGCAACTTACGAAGCCCAAGTGTTGGATTCTGTGAACTATCCAAAATGCCCCTCTTGATGGTATGGTGATCTTGAATTTGAATTGTCATTAACTTCCAAGCCCCAGCTGCGAAATTGAAACAACTCCACCACGTGGCCATTGCTAGGTGCCGTGTCACCCATTGGTTGGGTTGTTACCGAGACAGCCATCACGAGCCTAGCCTTGGCACACGTATTAATAACTTGGATTGGCTAGTTTTTTTAAATATGAAAAATAATTGAAAAAATTACCACTCAGTGTACTTTCACAAAAGAATAACATATTTTTTCTTTCTTTTTAAAGGTACTCAGTGTAGAAGGTGTCCATATAAAGGTAGAACTCACACTCCTCTCTCTACTTTCTTTCTCTTTCACCTCATTAGAACTCTATTTAGAGTTTTAATATTAGAGTTATGTATTATTACTGTTCACAAAATTATTATATATATAGGAAAAAAAATTAAAATTTTAATTATTAATATTTATAAAATGTATTATTGATCTATAATTAATTTGCATTTCGGGCCCTCAAACATTTTCGATCCAAAATGCCCCTCTTAATGGTATGGTGATCTGGAATTTGAATTGTCATTAACTTCCAAGCCCCAGCTGCGAAATTGAAACAACTCCACCACGTGGCCATTGTTAGGTGTCGTGTCACCCATTGGTTGGGTTGTTACCGAGACAGCCATCACGAGCCTTGGCACACGTATTAATAACTTGGATTGGCTAGTTTTTTTAACAAAAAAGACTGAGATCCTCTCTCAAAGGGACTCCCATGACTCCTTTTGCCTTTTGATTGATTAAAATTATTATTATTTTTTTTTCTTCTCTCTCACTCACCAACCCCCACGTGTGTGTGGGGTGAGAATATGAGGAGGTCCTAATTACAGCTCTTTTTTTAAATATGAAAAATAATTGAAAAAATTACCACTCAGTGTACTTTCACAAAAGAATAACATATTTTTTTCTTTTTAATTTGAAAGTTCTAATGTAACTTTAATGGTGTAAAGGGTGTTCATATAAAGGCAGAACCCACACTTCTCTCTCTACTCTCTTTCTCTTCCACCTCACTAGAACTCTATTTAGAGTTCTAATATTAGAGTTATGTATTATTACTGTTCACAAAATTATTATATATATAGGAAAAAAAATTAAAATTTTAATTATTATGCCCAGCATGCCATGCCACGGCGTTGCCCAGCGTGCCATGCCTTGGCCTTGGCCAACTTGCCATGCCACGGCCCCGGCCCTCAAAATAATATAAATTTTTTATTCACTAACTTAAGCCTCGTTTGGAAATAAATTATTTTAGTAATTTTTTAATTTTTTACTAAAATATGTACAAAAAAATAAAAAGAATGATGTGACAACTTATAATAACTTTTTAAGTAAAATATATAATTGACAAATAAGACGTTAATAATATTTTAAAATTTAAAACTGAACTCATTAAAATATAAATATATAAGCATATTAGTAAAATATATATATATATATATATATATTTGATTTATTTAGAAAAAAATGTCAATGTAATAGACATCACAGAGCCCTTTTTTTATGATAAAAAAAAAAGAAAAAAAGAAATGTAATAGATATATTAAGAACTTCTCAACATTATTGTTGATTGAATTTGATCAATAATAGACCAATAACGGAGTAGACATTAAGGTGGGCTCCATGTGGAATATACTTTTTGTCCAAGAAATTAATGCCACGTGGCTCCATTGTTGAACACAAAACAGAATTGTGTAATCCTGCTCTTTCCTTTCTTATCTGTGTCTCCATCAGTGCCCTCTTTTATTTTTCAGGAAATTTTTTTTTTAAAAAAAATTATTGGTTGGGAGTTTTCAATCACAAAAATATAGGGCGATTTTCATTAACCAAAAACCATTTTTAAGAAATGAATACACTATAATTATAAATTCGTTACTTAAAATATCCATTTTCCATAATACTAAATTACTAATAACCTGAATTCATTCTCGTCTTGATCCACTATGAAATTTTCATAAAAACATTAAGAGAAAGAGTTCGCACCGATCTTCTCAAAGATCACAAGGTCATTCATTTGAGCCCTATTTTAATTATGTTATTATCACAAGATATGTAAATATGTGCATTGATAATTTTTTTCCTGTTTCATTTTGTTAATCCACGAATCGAGATTCGGGATTGATTATGAATTTTATTGTGATAATCCAACCATCTATATATTAAATTTTATATTTAATATTGAAGAAAAATGACCGAGTGTTTAATTTTTTTTTTAAAAAAAATTGTTGCTGTTTTGCATCAGTTTTATACACAAGGGTACATATCAACGAGTTAGAGCACCTCCAATGTGTGCTCTCTTTCATTTCAATGTCAAAATTTGTTAATAACTCTTTCAAATTTGTCTCCAATTGACTATATTATATTTGAGTTTTTGTAAATAAAATATTACTAAAAAAATGATATTAATACAATTGAAGCAACATTATCAAATTATGACATTTTGCACAAAGTTTGAGTAGAAATAAATCTAAACTCATCTTGTAGCGTGCTTAAATTTGACTTTGATACTATCATTTTGACACCAAAAATTGAAGAGCTCCTATTCTAAGACAGTGTAATAACAGAAATGACAGTTTAATGGATATCATCCAAGTACAAAGACAGGCCATGTGCCTTCAATTCATTATGCAGCAACCCACAAACAGTAGCAATCCTTTTTCCATCCCTTAAAATGAAAGATCACAAAGTATTTGAAAACATTTGACTGAGAAATAGACAAGCATCTTTATTATCTGATCAAGAAATGTCAAACAATCTTAGCAAAAAAAATGCAGTGCAACTCATAAATTACCATGATGGCCTTGTTTGATTTGTGTTTGAGAAACATGTTTTGAGATAAAAAGTACAAAAATTATTTGATTTGATTTTTTTTCAAAAGATGTTTTGAAAAATTATTTTGAGAGAAAATTTTGAAAAAAGTTATTGATTTGACGTGTATGAGAGAGAGATTTGTTTAAAAAATTTGTAAACCAAACAAGTTTTGGAAAAAAATTTTGGAAAATTTTGTTTGGTTTGGTTTGATTATTTTTGAAAACTTATTTGTAGAGAATTTTTCTCAAAATTTTTTGAGAAACACAAACCAAACAAATGTTTTTGAAATAGTAAATTATTTACAGAAATGAAGAACAGATCACAGAACAGTATCAAAAAAGCAACTCTTTGTTTTATAAACGACGGAGAACCATCATAGACACAACCCCACGTTTAAGACTGTCTAGACTCAAACTATGGAAGGGCCGTAAAAAAAGCATGTATTATTCGTTTCAAACGAAAACCCACAAATCACCATTTAACACACTCAAACTCAGTAACAGAAATAAATTAAAAGCAAGCATAATGTACAGAAATTCGCCGCTGGATGGGGCTCCTACAGGATGGGCAGTCCTTCATTCCCTGCTTCTCATGGAGCTCGTTGCAATTTGTGCAGACTACTTGATGAGCACACGGAAGAAAAACCACAGACATCTCCTCTGAAAGACACATCACGCATTCTCGTTCACGTTTCACGCCTCCAATCCCAGAATATTCCTTGAATTCTGT